ATTCAGTAATTTGCTGAATGCAGATTGTCTCAATGCAATTCTAGCAGCAAGAACAGAACCTCAGCATTTAGTCACAGCAAAGACAGCGAGTGAGCGAGAGCGAGCACCTTGCACAATCCCAACAGCTAATGAAAGCCAAACTAAAATCCTGGTTCTGTGGGAGCTTGACCCCACCTCTTCAGGCTGCTTCTATTGTTCCAATGTTTAAAAAAAAAACCAAGGCAAAACAAGGTGTTTACTTTATTGGTTGGGAACAGACTGCTCAGTGCCTCTGTCTCAACCTCTCTTCATTTAAAAAAAGGACAAAATACACCTCTTAAAGCTATAGTATCATCACATATACAAACCATGGCAAATGCTCACAGCTCTCAGTCACTTTCTCCCCTTGTTGGAGAAGAGAGTGCACAACTTGGAGAGAGGCAATGACTTGGAAAGGGGTCAAGGGGTTGGTCCACAGGCCCATAGCCAGTGACAGGCCCATGTGCAACTCTGCTCCATCAGGAAGGAAGCTTTGGTTGGGGGGGGCTGCAAGTTATCAGATGACTTTACAGAAAGAGTTGGAGCCTCCTAAGGCACTGGTTTTCAAACAATGTCAAGAGACCTGGTCCCTTGCCCAAAGACTCTGATCTTCCAGATGGATCTCTCCCCTACAGAGGAGCATGGAACTGCCACTGTTGGTGATGCAGTTTCTGCTCCTGGTCCTTGGTTGAGCTGGAAAGAGGAGTTGCCCTAGTTATTCCCATGCTGTGAAGGTAGGCAACAAGGAAGTGAAGCTGAAAGGGAGTGAAATGTTTGGAAGGTGCCTACAAGGCTTTCAATCACCTGTCGCGGTGCGACCTCATTCTCTGAAACAGCAACAGGCTCTCAGCTGGCCAGGGCTGAAAGTCCCCAGTGCTCCTGGTTAAAGACTTCCCAGCCTGTCATTTTCAAGCGAGGTGGCTCTTGCCTCTGTGCACAGGCATTGATGGGCCCGATGCATCAATTCCACTCCGTGGCGTACATTGGAAAACAAGGAATCGATGGTTAAAACAGTTGCTCATTGCCAGGTCCCGGACTTTTCTGCCAGGCCTCAGAATATGTGCCGGAACAGTACACAAAGAAGTCGGGTCCTGATCCGACAGGATTTTCCGAGACCCCATCCCATCCAACCTTCACGTCACAGTTTGGAGGCAGGTTGGTGTCTCGGGAAACAGGCTCCCAGATTTCTGCATGGCTATTTCCATCACAAATAGTCCGAACAGTATTGACAAAATGGGGGCTGTTTTAAAATGAAAATACAAACACCTGGATTTGACCAAAAGATGGAGGAGCAGAACTAGGCCATTCAGCCCATTGACTGAGTTTTTGAGCCCGTTCTGCCATTCAATTATATCATAGGGGTTGTACTCAACTCCATTTGGGAGCCTTAGTTCTATATCCTGCATTATTCTTAACCAACAAAAATATAAATTAATCTTAGTGTTGACATTTTCTATTGTTGTGCTCACAGTAACTTTCTGGAGAAAGAGTAAGTTCCAGATTTTCACATTCTTTGAGTGGCAAAGTGTTTCTTGATGTTAGCCCTGAACAACCCAGTTCAAACTTGAAGATGATGCTTCCTTTCTGCACTCCCAAGCCTCTATCCACCCCATCAAATCCCTTCACAGTCTTAAAAACATCTCAATTAGATCACTGATAATCTTTAAATCAATAATTATTGATTATTATTTCATTTATTGTCTTCAAGGAAAGCAAGCCTTATCTACGTAACCTGTCCCTGCAGTTAGGCACTGTAAGAAACAGCATGTGCACACTCAGAGATAGTAAGAACTGCTGATGCTGGAGTCAGAGATAACAGTGTGGAGCTGGAGGAACACAGCAGGCCAGGCAGCAACAGAGGAGCAGGAAAGTTGACAAGAATGGCAGCCAATTTGCATCAATAGCATCATACAAATGATGAGCAGATAGAAAAGAAAACCATTTTGCCAGTGTTCAGTGTTCAGTGGGTGGCGTTAGCGAGTGAGAGATGTATTGCCTGGGTCACCTGCAGAACTATCTAGCTTGCACTACGGAAGCTTCAGAGTGCAGTGGTGCCACCAGGAGGGTGAGGGATGGCACTTCCTACAATGCCACACTTCCTGCCAGTATTGGCCTGGCATTAATAAGCTCAATCTTGCTGTGAACTTGAAGCTCACAACTGTCCGAGCCAGAGGTAGTAGCACAATCTACTGAGTGAAGCTAACTTTGTCCCCAGTTGGCAATGGGACCAAGCGGTGAAACATCTCCTGGTTAAAGTGGTTCAGCTGCTGATGCTCTCACACCGCCTACTTGCACCTGTGGTTTCAGCGTAGTAAACTCACTCAAACACTCCTATACAGTCAGCAGAGTTTACACAGACCAAAAAGTGCATGAAAAAAAACAGCAACAGCTTTAATTACACACTACCCACAGACCACAAACTAATCGTGGCACAAACACATCACATAAGCAATTTTTCTCAGTGGTTGTTTGGAGTCCAGACCAAAACTGACATCACCCAGCAGAATACATACCAGCCTCTCCACTACTGAGCTCCATGACTGCCACAGTCAATGGTTAAGGCGTTCTGTTGTGACAAGCTAACCACAGTGTCGACCTTCCCTTTGCCAGTCATTGCCACAGGTCTGTGCCCAAAACCCTTGTCTGGCTGGGAAAGGCCCCTGGAAAAATGACTTCAAGGGTCACTACATCCAAGATTGCGAACTGGAATACAGTGAAAAGCTACAGTGGAGCCAAAACACTTCGTGCTGGAACATTACTTCGACCAAATAACAAACTGCTGCAGTAACTCAAGTTTTTGTTTGGACGTCATGACGGATAATTGAGAGTTAGATGACCACAGGAAGGCAGACGGTGTTTAAATCAGGACACTTGCCTCGAGGCTCAGGCACCGACACAGCCACTGATCCGACTACAGATTTGCTTTTCTTTGGGCCTTTGGTTCATTAATCTCAACCAGGGAAAAATATTATCGGAATCCCTTTTCCAGGCTACTGGCACTCCTTCCAACATTTTCTGATGGTGTGAATTTGCCTCTTGACAATTCAGTCAAATCCCTGGCCCCTCAGTCACAGTTAAGAAAGAAAACAACAGAAAATGCAAGAGACACACAGTGTGTGTCTGTCAGTGTCTGAAAACACTAACACTGCACTTTGCATTAGCATGAATAAATGGATTAACGTCAGTCAGTCACTTTTGCAAAAACATTGCCTCACCTCAGACGAAAAAAAACAAACAAAAACAACCTGAACGGACTTAAGATTCTTTACTCTAGGTCAAAGGGGACTGAAGGGTGGCCTATTATTGAAAATTACGAAGGTGCTTGATAGGCTGAAAGACCAAAACCAGGGACAATTAACTGAAGAATAGGCACCAAAACAATTGAATTTGGGAGAAACTTCAGCACTCAGACAGTGGTTAGAAAGTGGAACTTGTAGTTAAGGGGAGCACAATAGATGTATCCAAGGAGAAACTGGATAGGCATACCAGGAAGAAAGGAATTGATGGATATGCTGAGAGGTTTAGATGAAGATTGTAAGGAGGAAGGCATGTTATGCATAAATGCATTTTGTCAAATGGTCTATTTCTGTGAGTAGATATTAAATATATCAATATCATTGATAATGCCACAAAGACCAATTCCAATCAAGAGAAAAAGGGTGGAGACTTCTGATTTGTTCAATTTAATACACAAAATTCTGATAAATCTATCCTTCCCTCAATCTCTAGAGATATGGACTAACTTTTTGAACCACTGCAGTAAACTTGCTAGATCATTTCAGAGGGCACGAAGGGTCAGACACCGAGTGTGGAACTAGATCCCTGTGCTGGCCAGATCAGAGATGGACACCATAATTCTGAACAACAAGAGAAAGCAATGTGGATTTTCAGTAGAAGCACAAGTGGGCCATTCAGCGCATCAAGCCTCAATTTGGTAACTTTTTTTGAATGTCAAATGGATGAATTTCAATTGCCAACAGGATCATTTTAACCTCTTTGTTGCTAGTCTGGGACCTGTACTGCAACATGATCACATCTGACCATCTCAAATGCAGCTGTCTTTATCGCTTTTCAGTTCTGATAAGCCTGTTATTTTAAAATTCATTCACGGGATGAGGGTATCACTAGCTCGGCAGCATTTGTTGCCAATCCCTAATTGCCCAGAGGGCAGTTCTGAGTCAAACATATTGCCGCGGGTCTGGAGTCACATGTAGGCCAGACCAGGTAAGGGTGGCAGTTTCCTTCCCTAAAAAGTGAACCAGATGGGTTTTCTCCCCCAGCAGTTGACAATGGATTCATGGTCATCATTCGATTCTTAATTCCAGATTTTTTTTATTGAATTCAAATCCAGGTCCCCAGAACGTTATCTGGGTCTCTGGATTAACCACTAGGCCATCACCTCCCCTGTTATGTAAGAAGGTATTTGATGTTTTTACTTCAAAATTTCTAATTTTGATCCAAAATAAAAGTGGATAAATATCTGTGTGGGGGTAGGATTTGGGTAAGGGTTAGGAAACTGGCAGAGAGTATGGAAGGCATCTTGGGGACCTTGCATTGGCACTGTGCTGTACAATTCATTGAAGGAACATTGCTGGTGAAACAGCGACAAGAGTGGAACATATATGAAAAAGAGTGTCTGTTCTATACTTAGGGGCCTCAATTCACAAAGTGGTTTACGTGATTAACCAAAGCTTTGTGAATGGGCGGGGACTAGCCAAGCACAGGGATAGCAAACAGCTGCCTCCACTTTAGTCCAACCTGGCTTGCTGCCTTTAGCAGGATCCATGCAATGTCTGAAGCTATTCCTGCAGGATCCCTGTCACCAAAGCTCGAGATGGATGATAATCGGATGCGCAGACACATCACAGCCTGTGACTGCAGTGTGCAGATAGGAGAGATTAACGTCATTCTGGAAAAGGAAGATGCAATAACAGATTAATGGAGCAACACTATCTGCCAACCACTTGGAGAGAAAAGCTTACCTGTTTGTGCATTTCAATGTTCAGGCCATAGGACATTTCATAGTACTGGAAAACAAAAAAGGGAAGGAGAGACAGCATTACTCCTGGGAAACTGAGAATCTGCAGTTTGAAGCTTGCATGGTTTTACATAGGATTTACACAGAGAAACAGGCCTTTCAGACCCTTTAGTTTATGTCGATGTTAACTGCTCCTCACAGCCTCCTTTCCTGTCAGTATATTATTCTATTCTCATTTCTTCATTCATGTATCCTTTGCCATTTGCTCACTGCTTTGTTGATGAAATGGAAAAGCAATTCGTTTCTGAAGTGTTAATGATAAAAGGTATCAAGGCAAACAGATCTAAGTGAGAAAGGTGCCAGTCAACCAGCCATGATCAAAATGGCACAGCAAGCTGGAGGAGAGCTCACAATCATCTTGTAACCCAGAGGCTCAGGCTAAAACTCCAGACACATGGATTCGAGTCTCGCCACAGCAGCTGGTGTAATTTTAAATTGTTTTAATAAAATCAGAGATATAAAGCTCATCTAATGGTGATCATGAAGCCATTGTCAGTTATTGTTAAAAACCCATCTGGCTCACTAATGTTCTTTAGAAATCAAACTCTGCCATCCTTGCCTGGTCTGCGTTATGAGAGACTCCAGATCCACAGGAACGTGGCCGACTTTTAACTGCCTTCTGAAATAGCCTAGCAACCCACTCACAGTTCAGGGACAATTAGGCTAGGGCAATGAATACTGGCCTTGTCAGGACATCCACATCCCATGAAAGAATTTTAATAAATGCCTACTGCTGATAGTGTTTTCATTGCAACTGGCTTCCAATAATTCTAATCCAACCAGAGGCCACCCATATTTGGAATTCTCTGACATCTGTTGTATTTTTTTTGGGTTCCAAAGCATGACCCACAATGGAAATGCCAATTCTCACCAGATACCATGGAAATTCCAATCCATATATAATTAAAAGGATTTTTCTCTTCACCAATCACTGCTTGAAAGAGTCAGGACTTTCCCCAAACAACAATAAACCAATGAATATAGCTGCTAATAGAACGTGGGAGACTCATCAATTAAAAAAAAGTCATCATAGACCTACAGGATTGTTAGAGAGACAGGTATGGGGGTGGGGGGTAAGAGAGAAAGAGAGACAGAGAGACTGACTATAGATAATTTAACATGGCCAATCAAGCTAACCTGTACATCTTCGGACTGTGGGAGGAAACCAGAGCACCTGGAGCAAACCCATGCAGACAGAGGGAGAATGTGCAAACTCCACACAGTCGCCAAAGGGTGGAATTGAACCCAGGTCCCTGGCACCGAGAGGCAGGAGGGCTAACCACTGAGTCACCCTAGAATCAAGCTGTAAGTGACTGGATGCTGAAAGATCATTGACTTTTTAGTCGAGCCCTACTGAGCTGATATAGTGGGCAAAACACTTAAATGCCAGGCTTTTCACAATAAAATGAGAAAGTGCTGGATAAAAATCAACAGATCTGGCAGATCTTGTGAATACAGAAAGAGTGTTAATATTTCAAATCCAGTGTGACTCTTCTTCAGGACTCATTTCACAACGTACTCAAATGACAAACACAGGCCATCAGCAGTCATAAGGTCATCAGAGAGAAGTATCATTAAACTTTGGCAATAAATTGGTTTCTTCCATATGGCATTGGATCTATAACATTCGACTGAGGTCAGGATAATTGTGGAAAATGGTTTCATCTTTACTTTCAATTTTCCTTTCACAGTTTAAAGGGATACTTTTCTCATCAGTTAATCCTGCTGCCATCTCAGGATGCTGGGGAAGGGGTGATGGGGAAGAATGAAGATTTGTCTGAAAGTGACAGCAACATAGGACACAGTGAACAGAGCAAGGCATGTGTCAAAAGGCAGCAACCCAACTGAAAGATTATCATGGGGTCGGTGAGAAGCATAGTCCAGATCTCAAACTGGCTACGCCATCCAAGCAATTTCATAGAATGCCTATAGTGTGGGAACAAGGCATTGGGCCCATTGAGTCCACACCAACCCTCTAAAGAGGGCACCACCCAGCTCCACCCCCCACCCTCTCCCTGTAACCCCACATTTCCCATGGCTAAACCACCTAATCTGCCCATCTTTGGAGGAAACCGGAGTACCCGGAGGAAACCCATGCAGTCACGGGGAGAATGTGCAAACTCCACACAGTCACCCCAGGCTGGAATAGAACCCAGGTCCCTGGCACTGTCAGGCAACAGTGCAAACCACCAAGCCACCATGCCACCAATTTACAGCCCTGCCCAGCAGTGAATACTGCCTGAATGCACGCAGAGTACATGGGAGGAAGGGACGGGGGAGAGAAAAAAAAAAAAGTGTGGGTGTTGCCACTAATAGTGAGAGCAGAGTTCCACTCAGCAATGTCCAACTCGAGCTCAATATTAATGTTATCGGAGAGGCAATCAGCCCTTTGGACTGGACGAAGTTAATTTTTTTCACTGTTTCAAGGGATTTGAGAGCTAATGCCACTCGAATTACCCAGCACTTGCTGGTATGGGAAGGTGGCACCAAGACTTCTTAAACCTTGATCAGAAAGGTATTGTACAGTGTAATTCCAAGATGTTGATGGCACTAACAATGAGTGCCAAGTGAAATGTACAAGTTCAGAATGTATGTAACATTAAAGTTGATGGTATTTTTCTAGCAGCATGAAGCTAAGCATTTGGCTGACTACACTCTTTGAAGCTCTCTAACATCATTTTGTTTAACCAAGTTTGGCCTTAAGATTGTGCAACAGTTAAACAAGTGCGTTATCTTCAGCTACTGCCCAACTCCTAACAGATATTGCACAAAAACCACCACACACGATGAGCAAACATTATCTATTGTATCACCATATAATTTGGGCGAGTTAAAGGATTGCTTGGTGTGATCCTAAACTGTACACAGATTAGCTAGTCTCCAGTTTGGGCACCTCCCTAATCAGAGTTCTGAGATGGCACCCAAGCTGACAGGTCCCTGTCAGGTTTCTCTCCTTTGTAAATGCATTATTAGCATTTTAGCAACAATCCCACCTGCTACCTCACTTAAACCTCTTCCACCACACATCCCTCTTCCTAGTTATGAAGATACCTCAAATCTAAATCTACCAGTTAAAGCCACCTGTTACAGGTCAACTGCCCAACTTAGAAGTCAACTTTCTATCAACTGCAAGAAGCTTTCTTGCTTGACTTTTTGGCAATGCCTAGCCTGGGAGGAATTCTGCTACACAGTGCCTTAGAATATCACTGTTCATTAGACCCCAAATTGCTTCTACACCAGGGACCTCAGATTTCTATTGAACTTCAGCTCTCCTTTATTTCCCCCAGCCTACCTCATTAGTGATCTCTCAGCTCATTAGGACCCAGTGTAGACTTTGCATGACACTTGCAGCCCGGAACACAGGGGGCTATTTCAGTCACCTGTACCTTCTCCACCAGAACATCACCCAATAAGTTCTTGGACTTGAGCCGACAAGCTATTTAACAACCACAGCTTAGGGCACTAGCAGATTGGAGCCATGACCTAAACTGAAAGAGCTTTCCTTCTGAACTACACTAGCTTCAGGTTCTTCCTCCAGAAGAAATACAATGAAGGGAGTCCATACATCATAAACATCACACAGCCTGCTGCTTTGGTGTATGGTGTGATTTTATCTTCAGGATATAAATAACATTGACCAGAATCTTCAATCACTAGTTTAAGTGCGATCACCGGGAGGAGAGGGCTTTGCTGGAATTTAATACTGGAACGGCTGGAAAATATTAACCAGTAATTCTTTGTTTTAAAGCTGCAATGCCTCCCAGCTGCACAGAGATTACATTTTCCCTGGACATATGCAAAGTGCCACAGAACAAAGTCCTCTCCCTCTTTTCTACACTTGTTAGATTTTGTTTTAGAAAAAAAAAAGTGTCAGCACCAGTTGAATTCCATTGGGGAATTCTAGCAATGGGGGTAGGGGTGGGGCTAGTAACCAAGGAAAAGGAACTTCACAACCCAGTGTCAAATTTTAACTTTATGAATGGGAATATCCCCCGAAACGAGGAGGCTTGAAAATAAAAAAAAACTTACTGCTGATTTCTGAAATAAATCACAGGAAAAGAAAAACAAACTGGAAGTTTGGAGTCTGTCAGGCATCGCATGTGGAGAAAGGCAGGAAGGTGTGGCTTAGTGGTATTATCATTAAACTATTAAGCCCAGGGACCTGGGGTTCAAATCCTGCCATGGCAGATGGTGGGATTTGAATGTAATAAATATCTAAAATGAGGAGTCCAGTGATGACCATTAAACTATGGCCATTTGTCACAAAAAGCCCACCTGGTTCACTGATGCCCTTTAGAGAAGGAAACTGCCATCCTTACCTGGTCAGGCCTACACATGACTCCAGGCCCACAGCAATCTGGGTTGACACTTAACTGCCCTCTGGGCAATTGGGGATGGGCAATAAATGCTGGCCCCGCCAGTGATGCCCTCATCCCGTGAATGAATTTTAAAAGGTCGATGACCTTACATAAGAACCAAGTGACATGTCCCCCCTACCCCCTCCTGGTTGACCGTCCGTTATTTTGCGACCCTACATCAGCATTTGTGGCCATCAGGTGGGAGGGGCAGGGTTTGACTGTGGATAGCCCACTCACAATGTTCAGTCTTGTACATGCAGAGGGAGTAAATCGGGTAAGAAATAGAAGAGAAAGTAGTTCCAGCTGCAGACCCCTTCCCTAGGCTTGAGGAGATGAGGGGCAAGGTGCAGAATGTTGGGGGGTCTAAAGGCAAATGAACACATGGGACCAACTGGTCATTTCTACTGACAGCTCAAAAGATTAACTCAGGCCTCTTTCCCCTTCCACCCTGTGCAGTATCTCCCACAGTCTACTGTGCTACCCCATATCCAAGGATTGTAACATTGAGAATGGAGACTGTAAGGACAGTAGTAGACATGCTGGATGGCCATTTTTCAGTCCCACCACTTGTCTAGTTGCATTCTGATGTAGTAACCTAGAACAAGAAATTTGACAGTTGCAGCAATCAAGT